TGGACAGCTGTATTTTTGGTCACGGGTAATTCCCGGCCATACAATAAACATTTTATATGAAAACAATATCTTGACGACTTCAATAAAAGTGCATGAAAAAATAAAAATTTCATTTTAATAATGAGATTAGCCATGGATTAGTAACCCACCTTCAATAATATTGACCTTATTACTGAAAAAGATGACCATGATTTTTTATATTTTTTTGCAATATAAGATTTCACTGTAAGGTCATTCACTTCATATAAGGGCATATGGATTGAAAAGGTAATGTGAAAGTTACATGGGAATTAGGATTATCCAATGGAAAATCCCGTGTTATGGAGTTCGCCCTGTCCATCTTTGAAAGTTCTGGTTCTGGTTACCCATTTGTCATCTTTGAGAAAATCGATGCATTAATGAAGGAGCATTTGTAAATGCATGTACATGTTCACACCTAATGAATGCATGACAGTTTGCTAGGTCATGGGAAACCAATGTAATCCATTATTTATGTGAGGGGATTTAATTCAATACCAGAGTGTCCAATAAGGCATGAATATAATAACATTGACTGACTTGTACTGGACCTATGAAAAATGTAACATAAATCACTTGCAATTGCCATGTTAAACCTGACCATTTTTTATGCAACATACATAGAGGATATCCTATGATTTTTTGGGATACCATTTTTATCCATGGTGTCATATTCATCAGTACTTGATGCTAATTCTTCTTTTGCCTCTTCATTGCTATCTTTTTGACTTAAATTGGTTTCATTAATAAAGCAAGACACAATTTTTTCTTGCCCTATAGAGGCTCAAACAAGAGCGTCTCTTGCGAGTCCTGAAAACAAATATAAGCAATTCAATATTCCATTTACCCATCATAACAATTACATGGAAAGAGGCTATCAGAACTAGCAACCTTAACTTGAAAGATGTACATGCACGTAACCGTCCGCTAAATATCTTATGCACATCTAATACAATACGTTATCGTCCATCGAATTCATATACCTGTACGTAGTCGTCTTACGACATTGCGTTTGAAACCTTATTATTTACAATATGACCACGTTCCTGTTCTGGATTTGTCATTTTATGGCTTGTTTATACACAGTTTACTTACTGTTGATAGTTTGAGTGGCTCTGAGGCACATATACTGAGAAATCACTAAAAAATATGAACTTGGACATCTCAGTCGGTAAGTTTACACCTTATATTCCGCTTTAAACCACCTGGCAGATTTGACCCAGTCTTTATAACCATCCATATATACGTCACCGAATGGAACTAGTTAAAAAGGAAATCTTATCTGAGAATCTTGCCTACAGGCGAGACAGAGGACTTTCCTATCCACCATTTTTTGTTATCGTTACCGCAAAATTTTGCAAATCGCCTTGTCGTAACCGTCATGCTATAACACCGTGTAGTGTAAGCTTATATAGTGCCGCCTCGCCCAATATTTTTTCTCGAATAGGTATTCTGCCATATCCAGCTCCTGATCATCCAGTATTTGTTTAATATTGCTCGCAGAAATGACGTTATTAGTATTATTACCACCGTTTGTTGTATCTTCACATTCATACATTGATTGTGCTATTAATTGTGTTATGATATATTGTATTGGCAGGCATAGTTGTTACCCAGAGTTCAACAGTACTAGAAATACAGCCACATGTTACTCTCAGTTTTATAGTTTCAGGGGCGGATGTGGGAACCAACAAGGGAGGGGGCCAAAATTTCAGGTCAGAGAAAAAACATTTTTGGGCCCCTAAAACCCAAAAGTGGGCCCAAATTTTGAAATTTTGAGCCCCATTTTCTTCAAAATTTGGCCTGAAATTTAAAAGTAAGGCCTTAAAAGGCCCAGTCATAACCAAAAACGTCCACTTTTGGGGGCATTAAGGCCTTTTTATGGCCCAATTTTTTGGGCCTAATTTTTGCCCCCAGGCCCCCCCCCCTAATCCGCCAGTGAGTTTACTTCAGTTATTATGTCCGTTATCAGAGACAGTACCATCCATCACCGTTAACGACCTGAGCCCTCATTATCCGGTCAGCGCTAAATTAGCGTTGCGATTTGCGTTGCGCTTGCGAATCAACATTATTCGCAAGCGCAAATCATGGTTTGCGTCGTATTACGCGCTTCACGCAAACGCAGACGCAACGCAGACGCAACAGTATGCTAATCGCAAATAAATTGGAAACGCGGGAAATTTAAACTTAGAGCTCAAAATAGATTTATCGATTTTTTAATGTCTATGTATGTTTACGCCAGTGCGGATGTGTCAATCCCATACTTGGACGTGTTATAGGTATGTGACGACCGTCTAGCAATAGTTCTAGATAGTGTCATTTTGTTCTTAGTACGCTAGACGGTGTCACATTGTCTTACCTTGCTTCCGCCACAAGTGGTGACTGAGTAGATTTCTGTAAAGGTGGTGAAATTTAACTTTATATGGAGATTTTACTTCTCCCCGAAATTATTTTTGTGTTTATGTGAGCTTCCGGGGTCACAGCCTCGTTTTGGATTACGATTCATTTTATTTAATTACATCATATTTTACCACTTTTGCATAGTTTTTTCGATGTAAATGCAACATGATATGATCAATATTGATTTAAAGATCAATATGGTAAGTTTTTATTCAAGTAATGTTACGTACTTTTGCAGTAAATCGACAATTTCAAAGTCACGTGATATTTTCAGCCAATCAGAGGCCTTCTCTCTCACATTCAATTCACATCTTCGTCAATATTCGTAAACAACAAAGGACAGATAGGTATGCTCTAAATATTTGGTTGATTTGTGTGCCTCCCAATTACTTTCCCGGTGTAAGATATAGTTTTACTTAATTGTCGAACTAACACCAGACCCAGGGATCGTAGGCATTCAGCCAATTACACTTTTTGAAGTGAGATATCAGTTTTTGGAAACGGCCGATTCACACTTGTTGAATTTTGGGCGGCCATTTTTGCATCTCATGCAGATTCCAAATTTTGATGCCTTAATTCATCTCAGTGTCGAGAGTTGCATTGGTATTTTGCTTTTATAATTGATCTTGAGTATTTCATTTAACTTTTGAGAAAGTAAGGCCGACTGATTTTCATTTTTGAAGTTACTTTTTCGAAGCTGTATCTTTGTCATTTTTCATAGAATTTTCATTGACTTGAGCACATGATTTCATAAACTCACATTTTTGATAGTTTTATATATTTGAGTAATATTTGAGCTTGCTTATACTAGTGTGATATAGATTCACACCTTTACATAAGTATAATCAAGTCATAGTGTTATAAAACACATTTTGATCTTATTTTGGATTTTTGTCTGTTCGACACTTTGTCGTACAGGTTAAATTGCCAAAAGCTTGCCATAATTTCATTTTGAGTAGTTCCTTTTGTTGCGATACTTTATCGTGACTAATATTGTGAGTTTAGAAGAGATACTGTATTTCTATTGTGTATTTGACTGTTTTTATTGTAGTTATTTGGTTGACATGTGATAGACATACTGTTTCATGCTTTATGTCTGCCACATGTAACTAACAGTCTGGTACATTGAAATATCTCTAGTGCTTATTGTACATATTATTTTCATACATTGAGTTTTATATTCATATTTCCAAGGTGATACTATTTCACTTTGTGTTACTGTAGCTCAGTTGATATTTCATGTGGGGAATATACTGCATTCAGCAGTGTAGTTTTCACATGTAATAAGCTACTTTTAGGTGATATTTTGATATTAACATAATTTGATACTGCTTCGAATCTCAGTTTAACAGAATCTCAGGGTGATATTTTTCACTTTGTGCCTTCGCGAGTAATTTCTTGTGTTAGATATATTGTATTGGACAATATGTCTACTACATTAGATTATTAAGGCAGTAGAACAGTTTAGAAACTTAAACAACATATACATTTGCATATAATCACTTAAGCTCAAACCAATTGGTGCTTCATATCATAAGTCTGGTATATAATTTCCCAATCAAGTGTATATATCAGGTAATTGTAGTGTAAATACAAACAGGTCTTGCCAACTTAGTCAGGGTAATACGGCATTAAGTGTAGAGTAATTAATAGTCAAAACTTCAGGTGCATAATATAATTGTGTAAATATACAGTGATCATCATACAGCCTAGTCTCTAAAGCTCAATTTCATAATCATGTAAATAAAAGTAATTTACAACTTTTGATACCAAATACTTATTTTTGTAAAAGAAAGCAATAAAGTAGTTTTTATGTTTATATTTTAAAATTACATCACATTGTCTGTTTAATTAGTGGTACGTTTTATGTCGCAGAGTTGCGACATACAGCCTCTATAGGAGACTCTAACCAATCCACACACATTATATTAATCTTCAATAAAATATTATAAACCCAAGTATTGTACATTAGTTATATCCATAGTAAGAGATTCAATATTTCAAGTTTTCTCTTTTATCTGTAAGACTCTGATATTTTGGCTCGCTACCATCTCAAATTACTATCGGGGTCATTACAGAAACTGGCTGGCAGCGTTGGGATTGAAATTCATATTTTGTGTGTGTGTTGTGCTACATTTGTCAATTTACTCTGCGAACGACCACTATAATGACTGTTCAAAATTTCGTTCATTGTTTTCACTGCAGTCATTCAAATGTTCCATTGAGAAAGATAGGCTGTTGGCATTACATATGTAACACATGTGAAAATTACCTCAAGTTCAACGACACTGTGTATTACCCTGAGCAAGAAATTGAAGCCTGTCATGCCTGCATTGATTCATGGAAGTTAGACCCAAACTGTTGTAGCGATTGCTTTGCATATGTAAGTTACCCTGGAGAACCTCATAATTGTCCAAGTATTATAATTTCCCAACAAAAGGCTCAGGCTAAGGATAAGTAGATATTCAAGTTAGGTAGATGCCAACAAGATACTGATTACATGCAAACAGGCACATATACATTCAACGCAATTGTACATTATTTGCTATATTAGCTACACAGAACACACACGCATTGCATACCATATCAAACGCTTTATATTAAAGTAACTATGGCTTCTACGCCTGTTAGAGAGTCCTCAAATGTTGCGGAAGATGTCCGGTTTCTTTCCTCTCAAATGGAAGACACCGTCAAAATTGTCAGGTATAGTGACGGGGAAGTATCCATGAAATACCCTTCTGACAATGTCACCACTAAGGGTGACAGTGGTATGAATACATTAACCACGGGTGAGTTATCTGCTCCTGAGGTAAAATATGGTAAATCAGGTGAATTATCCACTCAAGGAAAGGTTGACATAGAAGTTGAAAATTTATCGGGGGCATATGCACAGGGTGGGGCACGTCCTAAAATTCAACCCCGAATGACACCCAGACCACATGATGTTGTTAAAACAAAATTGGCATTCTCAGAACTTCCATTCCGGGAGACACCTTTGTCTGTTTATGGTGATAATCAAAAAGATTATGTTGCGGGTGCTTCTAACTGGCCAGAGAGGTCCCCGGGTCATGATTCAAATGTAGATTTAAGCCTTCCACCACCTCTTAAAAGGCAAACACCCATTACATCTGTTGATACCAATCCCTTCAGATCTTTTCAATCAGGTGGTCAAACAGATGGATCTTTGTTTCCAGCTAATAGGATATATCACGATCCAAAGTCCACACAGGTTGTTGTAACAAACATCAAATCAACTGTTGTTGAATCGCCCAGTGCATCATATTACCGCGCACGCACGACTTCGTCGGGTGTTCGGCGCGCGTCTCCTACTGTAACGCTCTATGGTCCGCCTACGTCGCATACTGGTGTTACATCCTCTTATTCAATGGCTCCACCAGTATGGCCTAATCCATATTTGCCGTACATGTACGGACAAGGGTATCCATTGCCTCAGGTTTATCCAAATGTAAACACTTTAGAGGGGGTAAATCATGCTCATATGCCCATACCAGGTCAAATGTATTCTCAAGAGGGGCAAAGTGTTCCATTTATACAGGGATTTCGTGGTGCTTTCCAAACTTCAAGGCCTGCTTCACAAAGAGGCAGTGACGTAAATAATGATCCCTCCAAACATATCACAAATCCGTTCATGAGTGAAAATCAAACAATGGTGCCTGGCCCTTACCCATTACCTAGAGTTGCATCTCGGGTAGCCAGTCCCTTTGTGCCGATAGCAAATAACTCCAATGTTATGGTTCCATACGGTTCACATTTGGTTCAATCTCCAGTCCCGGTGCATCCGTTGACTACACCTGTAGCACCTTCAACGGTTCCACCGCAGACTCGAACTCATTCTGTTGAAAACATACCAAATTTTCCAAAATTGTCCCCATATGATGGTACGTCTCATTGGCCTGACTTCCGGACGCAGTTTGAAATCATTGCATCCATAAACAATTGGTCTAGTTCTACTAAAGCTGTGCAACTTATTGCATTATTAAGAAAAGATGCACTTTCTACCCTGACTGATCTTGACTCTGATGAGCGTAGTTACGAAAAAATCATTGAAGCGCTAAATATGCGCTTTGACCCTCCTCATCAGGCAGGGAACTTCAGGGATAAATTGCACGATAGAATTCGTAAACCAAAAGAAAGTGTGACTGAATTAGCACATGATATCAGACGTTTGGTAAAAAAGGCTTATCCAGAAGCCAATGCACAGATTCGCGAAGTCATGGCCATTGACTCGTTTCGTAAAGCTCTAAATGATGTAAACTTTGAGTGGGCAGTCAAAAACAAAGACCCTACAACCCTCAATGAAGCTTTACAAATTGCCCTCAAGTATGATACATTCCATGCTAATCGTACCCAACCTAATCTCTCTTTGCGAAGTACCACTGTCTTGCCGGATGTTACGCCTGAGGTTATCATTTCTGAAAAAGTGAATTTGTTGTCCTCTGACGTGGCAGCCACCATGGCAGAGAATGCTCGCTTGACCGAAGAAATTAAAAGGTTAAAAGAGGGAAAGAGCTCCCAAAGGCCCTACAGATTTCAAGGGGAATGTTGGTACTGTGAGAAAAAGGGGCACAAAAAATTTGAGTGTCGTAAGAGACAGTATGATGAGAAAAATGGCATTGAACCACCCCAGAAAAGTCAAAACTCAAAAAACTAGAAAAGGCGTCACCAAACGGTCCAGGTGACGCTGTAGAATATTTTGGACCGTATGTGCCTTCCACTGGAGTTAACAATGCCCTTTATTTGCCTGTGAATTTTGGGGGAATTATTGTTTATTGTCTCATTGATACCGGGGCAACCCTCAGTATTGTTAGCCCAGAAATTGTGAAAAAGATTGAAAAATCAAATCCAGCCATTGATGCTTCAAAATGGGAAACCGGGCCCGGTATTCAGATGGCAGATGGTCGAGAAATCAAAGCTCTTGGTCAACTTGCCACTCTGCTCAACTTAGGTCAAGGTATTAGAGTCCATCAACAATTAATGGTTGCAAACCTCAATGCTGATCTGGTTCTTGGTTATGATTTCATGGTCATGAATTCAGCTGTTCTCAATGTAAAAGATCAACTTTTGCTCATGCATGGCAGGCAATTTCCCTGCACTCTTGAGAGTCAATTGCCTGTACTATATAACATCACCAATGCAGAAACTGTCACTGTGCCTCCATATTCAGAAATGGTGGTAAGGGGGCAGCTGCTGGGTGATTTTGAAAGTGAAAATACAGCTGCATCCATGCTCATTGAAATGAATACTCAAGTGTTGGAACAGAATCTTATGGTAGCGCGCGCCCTTGTTAATCCATCTTCACAAGAGATTCCTGTTCTCATAACTAATGTTCATCCAGAGCCAGTAACAGTATATAAAAATACCTTGATAGCACATGGTGAATTTCTGGATGATGACCCACTTTCCAAAGGGGGGGATCCTTCTGAAGATAGTGGTGCTCATAAAGCCCCTGGTAATGCACAAAGTTCAAATGTTTGTTCATTAAAAAACTCAAGTAATCCTGAGCCTTCTCTCGCAGACATCCCTGAGCACTTAATAGATCTCTGTGAAAGAAGTACTGAAAATGTTGACTCAGAAGACACAGAAAAAGTTGTTGACTTCCTTCTCCGAAATCAAAATCTCTTTGCTAAAAGTAAACTTGATCTCGGTAGGACGGACGAGATAACTCACAAGATAAATACGGGTGACTCTCATCCTAGAAAACAAGCTCCCAGACGTATTCCTCCAGCTAAAAAAGCTGAAGGGGAAAAAGCAATTCAAGATATGCTAGATTTAGGTATTATACGTCCCTCCAAAAGTCCCTGGGCCTCCCCAATTGTACTAGTCCCCAAAAAGGATGGGTCCCAGCGCTTTTGCGTAGACTACCGACAACTAAATGAGATAACATACAAAGACGCGTATCCGCTACCACGCATCGATGACACCATCGATTCGTTATCTGGCGCGAAAGTGTTCAGTACCCTTGACTTGGCTTCGGGGTACTGGCAAGTTTCAATGGAAGATGATGATGCTGCCAAGACTGCATTTACTACACACCAAGGGTTATTTGAATTCACCGTTATGCCCTTCGGGTTGTGTAATGCTCCGGCTACTTTTGAACGCCTAATGGAGTGTGTGCTTGCCGGACTCCGATACGAGTCTTGTTTGGTATATCTTGACGACATCATCGTGTTCAGTTCCTCCGTGGAAGATCATCTCGAAAGACTGAATGAGGTCTTTGATCGTCTAAAATCCGCGGGTTTGAAACTCTCACCCAAAAAGTGTAACTTGTTCCAATCCAAAGTTACCTTTCTTGGTCACGTGGTGTCCGAGGAAGGTGTAGCTCCAAATCCTGAAAAATTGGAACTCATCCAATCCTGGCCCCAACCAAAGAAGTTACGTGATACTCAAGCATTCCTCGGTTTGTGTTCATACTATCGTCGATTTGTGAAAAACTTCTCCAGTGAAGCACGGCCCCTTAGCCGCCTTTCTGAGAAAAATCAAAAATTTGTATGGGCCGAGGAATGTGAAGAAGCCTTTTCTCAACTAAAGACTCATTTCCGTAACACTGAAATTCTGGCATTTCCTGACATGTCCCTGCCCTTCATTTTGGATACTGATGCTAGTTCCTGTGGGTTGGGGGGTGTCCTGTCCCAGATTCAGTCCGAAGAAGAACGCCCGATTGACTTCTACTCTGCTACCTTGAGTAAGGCAGAACGTCAATACTGCACTACTCGCAGAGAATTGTTGGCCATTGTGAAATCCGTGAAACACTATCACCATTTTCTCTATGGTAACCATTTCACCATTCGCACTGATCACGGTGCATTGGCCTGGCTCATGCGTTTTAAGGAACCAGAGGGCCAGCTGGCCCGATGGCTACAAGTGCTTGGGACTTATGACTTCACCATTGAAGTCCGTCCTGGTACAAAACACGGAAATGCCGATGCTTTGTCCCGCCGACCTTGTGTCGATTGTTCGCACTGCAATCGACAGGAGGAGTGGGGCAGGGTATCACCAACTCCTGTGTCATCTTCCGCTGATGACCCAGTGAAATCAGGTGTCCCCGTAGATGAATCTGATCCTGTCACTGAAATTCCTTCGGTGAGGTTCACTTTCAGTCTAACACCTAGATTTGAAGTCCGTACCGTTCAAGGTCCAAGTAAACCAAATGATTCTGATCCAATTACTGGCTGTAATTGGTTGCCAGGAGTCACACAAACCCAGTATAACGAGGCCGTTGACCAAGATCCCTTGTTGGCTCCCATCAAAAAATGGATGGAGATTGGTCATCGTCCTCCATGGTCAGAAGTAGCTCCCAGGTCCACTGATCTCAAGCGTATGTGGTCTCAATGGGATCGCCTTCGTTTGCGTCAAGGGATTTTGGAACGAAAGTGGTTAAATGAAAACCAAGAAAATTGGCAAATTGTTGTACCTTCATCCCTGCAACTTGACATTCTCCATGGCATGCACAATCAAAGAGATGCTGGACACTTAGGTGTTACCAAAACCATCCATCGAGTAAGGAATCGGTATTACTGGTTAGGCTACAAAGCCGATATTGCTCGATGGGTGGCAGAATGTATTGTATGTCAAAAGAGAAAACCGCCAAATAGAAAACCAAAAGCCCCCATGAAAACGTATAATGTGGGCGCACCTTTGGAACGGGTTGCTCTCGACATATTGGGTCCCCTGCCGGAAACTTTGTCAGGTAATAAGTATGTGGTAGTAATAGAGGACTACTTCACGAAATTCATGGAACTAGTGGCCATGAAAAATCAAGAAGCCTCTACAGTTGCCACAGCTTTCCTAAATGAGTTCATATGCCGGTATGGAGCGCCATTAATTGTCCACTCTGACCAGGGTCGGCAGTTTGAAAGTAACCTTTTCCAAGAGTTGTGTGACATGTTACAGATTGATAAGACAAGGACTACCCCTTACCATCCTCAGTCAGATGGCATGGTGGAGCGGTCAAATCGGACGATTGAGGCTATGCTTGCGAAAGTTGTTTCTCCGCATCATCGTGACTGGGACGTACATCTTCCCTTTATTGCGGCAGCATATCGTAGTGCCCGTCACGAAACAACCAGCTTTTCACCAGCGTACCTCATGTTCGGTCGTCAGCCCCGCCTTGCGTCTGAGCTGGTAGTGGGTCCTCCTCCACAAATATTGTGTGAAGATCTTGATGAAACATATTACACTAAATTTTGTCAAGAACTGCAAGCCAAATTGGTTCAGACATACGATGCCGCCCGGGGTCATATTCAGATCAGTTCTGATACTCAGAAAAAATATTATGATTTGAAAGCAAATTCACAATCTATATCCCCTGGCGACACCGTATGGTTACATGTGCCTGTTACAGCTGTAGGTCACAGTCCAAAATTTCTTAATCCCTGGACTGGCCCATACAAAGTGACCTCAAAGTTGTCGGATACTGTTTTTGAACTGGATGTTAAAGGAACTCCGAAAGTCGTCCATGAAAACCGACTTAAACAGTATATCGGAGATCCCATTGACAGGCCAGAACAGTCCCCTGATCCACTTGCAGGTACCCTTGATGACACAGAAGAGGCCCAAATTAATTCTCCTTCTGTTGTAGAAGATGTCCATCCAACCCGGTCTGAAAGGCCGCGAAAACCACCCAAGTGGTTAAAAGATTATGATTTGGAATAATCGCCAAATATTTAACACATTGCTTGTTTTGCTTCTTTTCAGGATGGTGGTCTGCGCCAAATACAAAACCAAGGGACTCGTTTGTGGGGCTGAATTTCCAACAAAAGAAGAACTTGACCAACATGATATCAACCAACATCAATATGTGTATTGTCAGTTTAAATACTGCAAATTTATGTTAAGAGGACGCACCACAAAGACACGTCAACGGATGGACAGGCATGAGCGCAATCACGCTGAGAAGAGGAAACACTTTCCAAATGGACATAAAGATATCCAATCACCTTTAGTTACTCTAAAACAACTGCCAAAACCATTGATGGCTATAACCGTTCCACCCCAAATCTCTGCCTCCACAACATCAGTGTCCAAGAATTTCACCTCTGTGTCCCCTTGGACAAAGAGCACTCTGCCCATTACTTGTCCTGATAAGATCTTGGACTCTGATCAAGAAACTGAGATTTATGAACATGACCAGATGAGTTTAGGTGAACTCCGAGGAAGGATTACAGCCATCCGAGCCAAAAGTTCAACAACGTACAAGCGGAAATTGAGGGAGATATCATCGTCTGACTCGGACACTGGCTCCGACAGTGATACTGAGAAGAAAGGGGAGCAGGTTGAGTCACGCAACGCTTCACCTGTGCGATCCCCTAGCTCAGACACAGAATCATGTAAATTGGACAATGAATCGTCAACACCTGCCACAGAACAGCCATCGGGCGTACTCTCAGTAACTGAAAGTGTCCAGGACCATATGCCACCATCATCTCCAGAAGTATTGAGGCCTGAATCTCCAAATATGGACATTATAATACAATCTAAACCACTTGATTTGTCTATGAAACGACCAACACCAAAGAAGAAAACCAAAGTCAGTTACAAACAACCGTGTCAATGTGGAAAATCTATTCAATACATAACTATTAACATTGGCAAGTGACTGTATTGTGTATTTGAGCCCCTGCTTCTTCCAAGAATACCATAGGGGCCATGTGTTTTATTTATTGACATTTCTGAACCATCTAGAAAACAGTCCAATTTATATATTCAAGTGTTAAACGCAGATGGAAGCAGCTGGACACAGCGATGTCCCCAACTATAGTGTTAATAAATCAGCACTTTTGCTGATGGACATTTTTTATATACGTCATTTTACGATAAGTTTGTGCTCATTTTATAATCATCATTCCTGTTCGAGGGCGAACATTTTTTCAAAAGGGGGGATAGTGTGACGACCGTCTAGCAATAGTTCTAGATAGTGTCATTTTGTTCTTAGTACGCTAGACGGTGTCACATTGTCTTACCTTGCTTCCGCCACAAGTGGTGACTGAGTAGATTTCTGTAAAGGTGGTGAAATTTAACTTTATATGGAGATTTTACTTCTCCCCGAAATTATTTTTGTGTTTATGTGAGCTTCCGGGGTCACAGCCTCGTTTTGGATTACGATTCATTTTATTTAATTACATCATATTTTACCACTTTTGCATAGTTTTTTCGATGTAAATGCAACATGATATGATCAATATTGATTTAAAGATCAATATGGTAAGTTTTTATTCAAGTAATGTTACGTACTTTTGCAGTAAATCGACAATTTCAAAGTCACGTGATATTTTCAGCCAATCAGAGGCCTTCTCTCTCACATTCAATTCACATCTTCGTCAATATTCGTAAACAACAAAGGACAGATAGGTATGCTCTAAATATTTGGTTGATTTGTGTGCCTCCCAATTACTTTCCCGGTGTAAGATATAGTTTTACTTAATTGTCGAACTAACACCAGACCCAGGGATCGTAGGCATTCAGCCAATTACACTTTTTGAAGTGAGATATCAGTTTTTGGAAACGGCCGATTCACACTTGTTGAATTTTGGGCGGCCATTTTTGCATCTCATGCAGATTCCAAATTTTGATGCCTTAATTCATCTCAGTGTCGAGAGTTGCATTGGTATTTTGCTTTTATAATTGATCTTGAGTATTTCATTTAACTTTTGAGAAAGTAAGGCCGACTGATTTTCATTTTTGAAGTTACTTTTTCGAAGCTGTATCTTTGTCATTTTTCATAGAATTTTCATTGACTTGAGCACATGATTTCATAAACTCACATTTTTGATAGTTTTATATATTTGAGTAATATTTGAGCTTGCTTATACTAGTGTGATATAGATTCACACCTTTACATAAGTATAATCAAGTCATAGTGTTATAAAACACATTTTGATCTTATTTTGGATTTTTGTCTGTTCGACACTTTGTCGTACAGGTTAAATTGCCAAAAGCTTGCCATAATTTCATTTTGAGTAGTTCCTTTTGTTGCGATACTTTATCGTGACTAATATTGTGAGTTTAGAAGAGATACTGTATTTCTATTGTGTATTTGACTGTTTTTATTGTAGTTATTTGGTTGACATGTGATAGACATACTGTTTCATGCTTTATGTCTGCCACATGTAACTAACAGTCTGGTACATTGAAATATCTCTAGTGCTTATTGTACATATTATTTTCATACATTGAGTTTTATATTCATATTTCCAAGGTGATACTATTTCACTTTGTGTTACTGTAGCTCAGTTGATATTTCATGTGGGGAATATACTGCATTCAGCAGTGTAGTTTTCACATGTAATAAGCTACTTTTAGGTGATATTTTGATATTAACATAATTTGATACTGCTTCGAATCTCAGTTTAACAGAATCTCAGGGTGATATTTTTCACTTTGTGCCTTCGCGAGTAATTTCTTGTGTTAGATATATTGTATTGGACAATATGTCTACTACATTAGATTATTAAGGCAGTAGAACAGTTTAGAAACTTAAACAACATATACATTTGCATATAATCACTTAAGCTCAAACCAATTGGTGCTTCATATCATAAGTCTGGTATATAATTTCCCAATCAAGTGTATATATCAGGTAATTGTAGTGTAAATACAAACAGGTCTTGCCAACTTAGTCAGGGTAATACGGCATTAAGTGTAGAGTAATTAATAGTCAAAACTTCAGGTGCATAATATAATTGTGTAAATATACAGTGATCATCATACAGCCTAGTCTCTAAAGCTCAATTTCATAATCATGTAAATAAAAGTAATTTACAACTTTTGATACCAAATACTTATTTTTGTAAAAGAAAGCAATAAAGTAGTTTTTATGTTTATATTTTAAAATTACATCACATTGTCTGTTTAATTAGTGGTACGTTTTATGTCGCAGAGTTGCGACATACAGCCTCTATAGGAGACTCTAACCAATCCACACACATTATATTAATCTTCAATAAAATATTATAAACCCAAGTATTGTACATTAGTTATATCCATAGTAAGAGATTCAATATTTCAAGTTTTCTCTTTTATCTGTAAGACTCTGATATTTTGGCTCGCTACCATCTCAAATTACTATCGGGGTCATTACAGGTACATAAAGCTGGTTTGTAATTAGAGGTTATGTCACTATGACGTGAAATATGCCTGAGTTCTCCCAATATAGGCCGACCTTGGGAGGCTCTATATTTGGGCAAGAACGAAGGCATATTTCACGTCATAGTGACATAACTGATGTATTACATGCCTTTGTTCCCATGGTTACTTTGTATCAATGACGTGACGTCATGATATTATCATGGTTATTAAAGAAATCTAATATCAAAACGAGGTAAGCGGGCTATATCGGGGTAATCGGGCAATATCGGTGGATATAGCTCGCTAACTTTCCCATTGACTTCCATACAAATGCTTCGCTAGGTATGTAATACAAACTTTTATTCCATACTTAGTAGTGTTATAGGTATATAACATGCGGGAATATAACTGATATGTGACGTGAGCGGGAGACATATATATCTACTGAGCCAGGGGACTTTGCTATTATTCCTAACAATCTACTAAGTATAGAATAAATCAGTTATTAAATGCTCGATTTTTGATACAGGGTATATCCCTCGGTAAATACAATATATCAACCCTCGGTCCCTACGGTCCCTCGGGTTGATATATTGTATTTCCCTCAGATATACCCTTATCAAAAACCTCCCATTAAATAACCTCTATATATTTTCATCAGCGGTCAGATATAGCTATACGTCCCGCTCTGAGCGGGCAGATATAGTATATCTGCCCGCTGACGTCATAATCGCCGTTCGCATATTGGTTCATTTTTGTAACATGAGCATAATTACTGTAAACGATAATGGAGAAAAGGCAGACAATTGCGATCTGTTTGAAGGAAGGAAATGAGCGTATCCCTGTTAAACAAGGATTTCAGAAATAAATGTGGATGAATATCTGAAAATCAGGCTATTCTAAATGAATTCTTACGGTTGGTTGGACATTTTCTGAACTCCGGCCAATTGAACAGCGTGAACAAAATGACCAAGATTGGTATGGTATAAACAGATCATCCTATAGTTCAATATCCTGAACCTCATATATGATAATCTCTATTTATCCCATGATACTACTAATTCCCGATGAATAACCGGGAATATTTTTGATATTGAGAAAAATCGTATTGAAAATTTTTGCCAAACAAAGCTTCCTCTTTCAATCAGTTGGGTCGATATAGCATGCTAAAATGATGTTCTTATGTGAAAAACGAATTCCAGTTTTATCATCATCGCTCTGACACAGACAAAAATGCTTACGTATTGCTGAATGTTTTGATGTTGATGTGTTTATGTTACACATGTACAATAATTTTTTTATATTTAAAAATATCATAAAGCTAAGTCATATTTTCTTGATTAAATATACCATTTTTTCATAGAAAAATCTAACTAATGATTTTATGAAGACAGTTATGAATATCATGGAATAAAAAGCTAATTTACTGGTCGGGATTAAATATGGGTTTATTCCTCATGACAATTTGATATTTCACATATTGTGAGGGACAATTTGGTATTTCACTCTGACCCTCCGGGCTCTCGGTAAATATCATATTGTCCATCATAATAAAACCCATATTGAATCCCTCCCACTACATAACCTATATATATCTTGCGAAAATCTAGATCTGTCACTGGAAGGCAGCCCATCTTGAAAACAAGACACGGTGTCTTTGTAATTAGTCCGACTGATATAGCCTACCTAGAGAAAACCGCCGATACCTCAGCAACAATGTTCGAAACAGTAGGTTGGGATACCCCGAATATATCTCCATTTATCATTTGCATACAACCTGTAGCATAAAATCGTAATGAAATGAATACTTTTAGCTGACATGAAATTGCCTGAGGATTCCTTGTTCTTGACGCTAGATCCCCATCTAATATATTAATCAACTCAAGAATGAGTGGCCTCGGCATGCGATATCTGTTTAATATCTCATCGTCAGTCATCTCTAACGGCTGACTCCTGTCTCTGAATAAGCGTAAACCTCTTCTATTGTGAACATCCTGGAATAATATGCGCCACATTTTCCAGCTTGATCGAACCCTAATATTTTAATTTTAGCAGACGATATTTGCGAAATGGAATTGCAATATTTATTATAGATTTCACAAAACCAAGGTAGCATAATCGTGCACTTTCAGACTTGATTTTGATAAGTTTTGGTTATTTGTGTCTCTAATGTTTTCAACCTATTTTTTTTAGTTGGAGGTCTCAAAGGGCACTTCCTAGATTTCTACAACGATAATGTTAATTTAAATAGGAAAACTATCAAGATTCTTGATGATATGTTTGCGATTTATATTGCGGCAGGGTCAGGGATGCCGCAAATAAAGTGGAGTTTGCGACATAAATATCAACTGATTTACGTGGACGCAACTGTGCGATGACTGCATAATACCAATTTGCGTGCGGTTAGCAGTATATTTGCGATGCGAAATGAAAATAGCGATGCGTCTACCGTGTAATAAGAAAACTGCGATTTGCGCTAAAGACGCAAAACGGCAATGAATTTGCGCTAGAGTGCCTTTGAGATGACCTCATAATATCGTTTTGCGTACGATTCGCTAAATATTTACGTTGCGATTGCGATTTGCGGTGCGTCGACCGGATAATGAGGCCTCTGGACTGAAACAGCAAGAAAATGTTACGCATTGAACGATATCTCCCGGGGAAAATTGCCGGTCCAGAATATATTCTAGACCGGTCCATATGGACCACCACCATGACGTCACACATTTCTCAGGTCGATATAGTAAAATGAATGCCTTCTAAACTAGCACTAAAACCAATCTTACTAAAACCCCTAAAACTGGCCTGGCAAGGTGGTAATAAAATATAATAATAATGAGGCCTCATGTTTCCAAATCACGGATAGTGGGAAGTCCTCCATCTAGGAGGTATATATAATACAAATAATATAAGTAATATATGGAGGACTTCCCGTTCCCATAACCAAATTCATAGCATGAAAAAATCACGAACATTTTTTTATTGTTCGGTAATGTGGAGCATCAATGGTCGGATGAAACGGAAGTAATGAACGAAAACATGTCGTCGATTCAGTTTGAAAGTTCTCGCGCTAAAAAGAAAGATAGAGAGGTATTGAAGAAGGCAAGACAAGAATACATTGATAAGGTAATATCAAAATAACACAAAGAATTGCATTTAATGTGTAATACTTCCATGACATCTGAAGCCACTCAGTAAAATTACAATTTCTTTGCAACCTGATCATTCAAGATCTCACAGTGAGCACTAGCCTAGGCTAGAGTCCATTTCACTGCTTCATTTCGTCAGTAGAACGGCAAAAATAAGAAATTGGGAGACCATTGTGCAATAATATATGGAAAAGTATATTCATGATGTGCATGAATGACATTTGTATATTTCAGATCTTTTAGTTTTTTGTGCAATAAGCCCGTCTTGTAATTTGAAGAATTTCAGCCATGTAATCTTATTGAAAATAACATGGCAGAGAAACATCCAAATATAAGAGGCCACACACTTTATAAGCCAAACTAGAAGCAATCCAAGATATACAAATGTCATTCATGTACATTATGAATATACTTTTCCATATATTATTCGTAAAGGCTAGAGTACCGACAATTGTCGGTACTCTAGACTCTGAGGTGGTGGCACGCTAGAGGACCGACAAATAAATTGTCCGTACGGGAGATATGCTGTGTTTACACGCTAGAGGACCGACAAATATTGATTTCGAATTTTCTGGCGCATGCGCAATGCTCGGGGGGATATTTCAGATATCATACGGATATTTTGGGAACAAATGCAAAACCCGGGGAGGGCATTACCAAACCCAGTCAAAAAATGGTAGCCCGGGAACAGGGAATGGTAGTAAACGTTGAAAACCCAATATAAAAAACATGAACAAGTAAGACGTTAGAAAGCTATTAATGCAGAGTAAACGGCTATACATATTCTAAACAGACAGGATATTACTCCTGAGCCGATCAGGCGTAGAAACGGGCGTTTGCTACCCATTAGATAGAAGGAAATAGCTAGAATGTTTTTTATTTGAAGCTTATGGTATGAGGTTCCATATCCATCCGCCAAAGGTATGAGCCCTATATAGTCCATTTAAAAACCAGTGGTATCGTTCTAAATAACCCATAGTTGGCTTCTAGGGTACCTAGTATGCCACTTTTTGGTATCAAAATAAAGAGGAGTTCAACTTTCATTTGAATTACGAAAATAGCGATGTAGGTCAAAATAGTTCCGAACGTGAGCATGTTTACTACGCGTTTGCCCGTCATATCAGAATTGAGGAAGTGGTAGCAAACGCGAGTTACAATAAAGGGACGCTGATATCTCAAAAAGTTACCTGACTCCCTATAATTTGATGTAGGTCAATCGAACCCCTATATGGACAGGTGCATTTTGATATATAACACTATGGGGGGTAAGCGTTTCATAGTTGGTCACGAACGCCATATGTGCAAAGTATTGTTATGAATTTTCGAATTTGGTGTTGGATTACGGTACTCATACCTTATAGCACAATTTTTGATGGAAGTTGCATTTGGCTCCCTTAGTTAATGGCCACGATTCCATCTCGCATGAGAGAGCTACCAAACGCAAAGTAAACAGTGATATATTCCAAATGAGATATTTCTCCTGTGCCATGGCGTAGTAAGGGTAGAGAGCGACGGGGGCGAAAGCATCCCCTCCCTAACTGTATATATCGACCCATTAGATAGAACAATAAAGAGCTTTAAAATGTTTTTAAATTGAAGCTTGTAGGACAATTTTGATGGAATTTGAATCAATTTTTGTCGAAATAAATTATGGCTCAATATAAGTTAATGCCTGTGCGATTCCATACTGCAAAAGAAGCACTATGCCCCCCCCTCAAAAGAAAAAAGCAGGTCCTGCTGGGATTCGAACTCGGGACAGAGTGTGTTCGAGTCGTGCTCGCTAACCACGAGGCTACCAGTGATGAGGTTATTTCTAAAAGTAAAAGTAGTCGATTTATTTATGAAATTGTCGGCTCTCTAGCAAAAACACGTAGTAGCCACTTGCGTACCGACAATTGTCGGTTCTCTATCTGGCACTACTAGGTGACGATAGAGTGCAGGCAGACTTCCCATGTCTCATTACATTCAACTTAATGCAATTAAATACTGGATGCACCTTAAAACCCAAACCAGAAATAGTCTAACCTCTGAGCTGTTCAACCACATAAAATCTCTCAAATACAGCAAATGGCTCTCCTTTATTAAGAATATCTTACTTAGCATTAACATCAATATAGAAAATATGGTACTGTACTCCGGGTAAATTTGGACGCTATAAAATTTCGCGATTTTTCAAAATTGCAATTTCGCGGCTATTTAATTTCGCGGATTTGAGTTGATGACATTTCGCCGGTAATTTTAGCCCGTTCAGAATCCGAATCATGTTTGTATTTCCCACGTTTAGGGCATTTATTTGAATATCTTTGATTAGTTTTTTCAACTTAAATTTGTAGGATATCATTGTCGTCAACAGTTCTTGCCTTTGTTGGCCTAATAAGCCAATTTAAAATGTTAGACATTTTAGGCCTTTTTTGAATTATCGCCCAACAACAATGGACGAAACGTTTTACGCTGAACGAAACATATTAAAAGTCCCGGGTCAAATCCCCGGGGATTTAAAACACAAATTTCGCGACGATAAATGTTCGCGATTTTACTACATTCGCGAACAAAGCGAAATTAAATCGCACGCGAACAATACCCGGAGTACAGTATTTACAACCCAAAAATCAAAAAATGATTTTATAAAAATAGTTAAAGATAAACTTACAGCCTTAACTAAATCACAATGGAAAATCAAAACCCAGACTGGTCAGAGCAAAAGCCAAAACAGTAAACTGAGAACCTACACTAAATTTAAACACGACTTGAATTTTGAAGAATATCTTATTAATGAAAAAAGACTAGCCTATCAAACACAATTTACTAAACCACGTCTGAGTGATCACAAACTAGAAATTGAAGCTGGTAGACATACGTCAAACTCAAAAACAGACACTGTAAACAATGCAACAATCAGGAAAATCTAATTGAAGATGAAGTACATTTTATATTAAAATGTGCAAAATTTAATCATGAACAACAAACACTTTTTGATAAGATATCTAATAATATTCCTAACTTTAAACAAATGACTGATGAAAGTAAATTTTTACACATAATGAACTACAAATCTAACCTCAGCCACATCTCACACTTCATAACTGTATGCCTCAGAAAAAGATCTATGTAACCACCAGTATTATAGATAATAGATGATAGATAGTAATATATATTTATTTATTTTTAAATTGTATAATCTGTACATTCATTTACTTTTAAATAGCATGACGATACCATGTATGTATTTAATGTAATATGTTATTAGGTTGTGTCAATAAATAAAATAAAAAAATATATATACAGTATAGGGAAAGTGGCCACATTACCATATCTACAGTGCTCACCATTAATACTGTAAATGACACCTGGAAAGTCTGGAAATAGTGATATAAAATCCAGGTGTCATTTATTTATGGTGAGCACTTTAGTACAACACCTGGTCTTAGGACAAGGCACTAAACAAAGGGAGTAGTATAAGCTACTAGGGGAGGAGCCCTTACATTCATTCATTACATTGATTATATTTTAGGTGAGAGAGCAGTATGAAGCAAATGAACGTAAGAAAGAGCAGCGCAAGCTACGAGGGGAGGACACGTGGATGCTGCCCTCTGTCAGTGATCGTGTGGACCAAGAAGCAAAGGTAATCAAGTTGACCATTCACAATCAGAATTCGGGTATTTTGTTTATGGATACTGTTCATGGGTATGACATAATATAAAAATGATATTACAAATTAGACATGAGGGAGAGACGAAATGGTGGACACCTGGGGGGGGGGCACTAAGGGAGGGGGGGAGTGCTTAACCGCTATCTAAATCATGTCAGTAAGATCTTAGACTCAGCATGTGCTTTTGAATATTGATCTAGTCAAATCAAACACTTTTGTGAAAAATAAATCAATAAAGCACACAATACAGAAGATAATCTCTCAAAATTTAACAGTTATACTAGCAGTCTGGGCTAATTATGACGTCCACAACAAGATAGAATCCATCCAGTGATCGTAAATCATTAATTGTCCAACTTCTGGGAACTCTGTGTGTTGTGGGTGATTGAAGAAGAATCGAGATTGAGAATTACAAGTCATTACTAGGGGTCTCGCGATCGCTCAGATTTGCTCGAGCACTTGAGCAATTGTCATGGTCATGGTATGTCATGGTATCCATACTCAACTTGAATATCGGTTAAAATTTTGTTCTGTTTTAACCTCCCAAAACAGCATAATCATGTTCGAAAGCATATTAACCTTTAACATGCTGCCAGCGAATGTATCCGCCCATGCTTTACTATCCCGAGTAACTGCCGGCGGATCCATCCACCCGATTTCAAACTTTTAAAAACTTAACTTTTTCGAGCCATTTTTATGATCCAATCAGATTGCACGATTTATTCAGTGCCTGGCGTGACTTCCTGTTGACCTAGAAATGGCGATCTTTCGAAAAATATTTCCCAATTTAAACAGAGTTTTAGTCGTTTTTAGTGAACAAATCATACAAAATGGAAGCCAAGTACGATCACAACGAAAATGTGGAGGAAATGGATTGCGATTTTGAGCTCTTAAGGCTCTTGGAAGCCGATAATGGCCATCGAAAAAAGAAACTAGAATATTTTCTGAATCTTCCCAGGGGCAAAACGACGGATTCCGGAGGAGTATTCATGGTATATTCATGCCCAGTCATGTTTATTTATGAAAAAAATTCATAAGAAATTTTTTTCATGAGCCAGGCCAGGGTATCTTCATTTTTCTGAAAGTTTTATCCAGATTCATTCAGTAGTTATTGAGATATTAATTTTTTATTTTTTTTTGATATAAATTCCTAACGGAGCACCCAAAATTTTTAAACATGTTAAAAATTTTTGGCGCTCTTGCCGAACATTCCGCTTTACTTCGAGCTTTTCTACGACCTATTACGACCCCGACGCTTTAATCAAGCTTTGTTACGCTTTGGTGCCGCTTTACAAGTCGCTTTAAAGCGCCATGCTTTGGTGCTGCTTTGCTCGCTAATTTAAAGCGTGGCATTCGCCGTTGGTGTGAACGTAGCTTAACTAAGCATATTAACTATAATAGAATATAGTGGTCGGACTCGCCTGAAAATCTCCACTCGAGTGGGCCATAAAAAACCACGGTTATATTCGCGATTTGACTTAGTTGAGTTACTTCCAGTTTCAGTTGCCCAAGTAGCGGCAGAATTCATCAATTTGATCAAGTCTTTCAAGTGCCTCTATACTTTTTATGGTCTAAATCGTACTCCCAGAATGCATCAAACCGGAAATGAAACTTTTGCATAAAAATAACGAACGCAGAATAAAATCCAAGTATGTTTGTCTTCCACACATGGGATTAAATAGAAAATAAGTTGTATTCTATACAGATTAAGCAGAACATTACAACTATAAGCATGGAAATTGCGAATAGGAGAGACGAATCGCAAGTCAAGGTAAGGTGAAAACGAGTGAAAAATAAGTTTTCAACTCGATCAATTGATTTTTAGGACAAATGCGAATAAAACTTGAGTACACGAGTCAGTCTTCCAACCACTAATAAAATATCATTTGGTAATACATTATACTACTCACAGTACCTCCCTGCTTTGTTGCATGGATGTGGTGTTATAATTCTTGACAAGACCTCTGAAAAGACCCTTTTTTCAATGCAATATAAATTGGCCAAATCAATTTTTCAACTTAAAGGTGCAACAATTAGTGCAGGGAGGTCATTCAACGATCACTGACCAGTGTCAACATATATTTAAGTTTGGATATTTCATCAAGACTAACATAAATTTTCATTATCTACAAAGAAACCCCCTGGATGAACATTATTTCAGCTGATAATCCTCTTGAAACGTGGTGGATCTTAAAAATCTATAAGTGGGACTCCCTTTATAGAAGCTTTGAACTGAATTTACACTTCTTAATGCTGAAATTGATAGTTTATACATACATTTTAAGAAAATAGGTATGTCAAAGAAGGTGTTAAGCCAAATATTGACCTGATAGCTCAAAAATTTGAATTTTCTCTCTACAGTCCTTGTTGCCCCTTTAAATGTAACCCTGCCAAAGCAGTAAATTGTTAGGTGACCTTGGCTGGATAAGCATAAATTAACATTATTCAGAAAAGACAAATTGATTATTTCTTATATCTTAAGTTCTCCATGAGGAATGGCCTACATAAGGATATTTTTGATAAACTGTTTGAAAATTTCAAGGGAAGAGTAAAAACATGTTGGCCATATTTTGAAAACATACAAGACATTTTAATTGAACATGGCCTTGATGATGTTGTGTTTAGAGATGACAATGAATGGTATGATTCTTTTTTGTCCATATCCTCCCAACAACACCAAAGTAATTTTCTATCTGAATGTTCCTCGAAATCTTCACTAGAATTTTATGAATCAATCAAACAAACCCCATTTCCGGAGAATTACCTAACTTCAAGTAATGATTTTGTTGGACAGAGATTGAAGTTCAAAGCCAGAACTGGGTGTTTAGGTATTGGAACTGACCTCAAAAGAAGAAAATTTGATGATGGTTTTTGCAAACTTTGTTCCCTTCATCCAATTGATGATTTAACACACAGATTTTTTACATGTAGTCACAACCAACGTGAAAGAAATGAATTTTACAACAGAATAAAAACCTCATGTTCCCCTGATGTATTTAATATGTTCTTAACGCTTCCTTTAAATGAAAAATGAAAGTGGTCTCTAGATGTTTTTTTTTTTAGTATTTGGGGCAAAGACCAAGGATTCTTGTTTGACAAGTGTGTCAAACAATTTTTAGTAACTATTAATAACGATATTTAAAACTCTTAACATGTGTACAATTTAAGATATTTATTTTATCTATCTATCTGTATTGTATTGTATTTTATGTATATGTATTTGTTTTATGTACTACCACACTGGAATTTTCCATTGTGCCACTGATTAAAAAGTGTTTGGCAAATAAATAATAAATAAATTGAGACTATTGAACATAGCTTACTGCATTGCAAACACTTATGAAGAGAAAAGAAATGAATTTCATAAGAGCTTAAAGTCAATCATACCCTACCCCATACTACTCCAAAACTTAAGTGGTTATTGGGTGATGAGGCATTCAAAATTGGGGGACATGAAGCAGGGCTTAAATTTGATAGTGTAAAGAGTTCTTACTGGCACTGGTACCTGTTACACTGCTGGGTTGAGTCTAACGAAGCATTTTTGTAACGAAGGTTAGCGAAAAAATTGTGTCCACACTGGCTTTATCCAACCCTAACGAAGCAATTATTTGGTGTTACACTACACTTAAAATGCTTCGTTGCGCGTGCGCATTACTCATCTGCTCCACCCACTTATTATGATTAATATTTTTATTTTTTTGATATAAACCACTGATCAAACTCAAAAATCTAATTTTTAATCTTTATTTTAACAAATCAGCACAGAAAAAGACTAGTTCAAAATTCTCGGGAAAATAAAACAAGATGAATGTGATAATTCCGTACACATGTCCATACATTTTTCCTATCATTTCGATTTTTATATATTTCAGCTGTCAATACGATTACAAGTACTGTTTTCATTTTCTATCATTTCCCTTTGGAAAACATATGGAATAAAAATAGGCCTATGTTAATTACTAGGAGGAATTGGATTTTGGGTTTATACAGACGACTAGTATGTAAAATCGTATAAAAACGTTCAATTTCCAAATGGACTTCTCAGCTAAATTTCAAATAGTGTAGCCATTACTAAAGTATCTCGGTGTTCGGCTGGTGGTTTAACTCACGCGGTCCTAACTTCGATCGTTAATTTGAATTTTCGACCTACCAGATGCTTGAAAATCAAGGATTGCGAGTCTCATACTGCACCGTTTTACTTCAAACCTATACCATTAAAAGCAAAAAAAATTGCCTTTCTGTCGGTGCATTACTTTATTGTAAAGAGTCCCTCGTTCTAGCAGCGTTTTGGTCCCAAGCTGTTAGAAGGCCTTCTTACAGCTAAGGACCAAAATGCCGCTGGAAGTAGGGACTCTGTTTAAGAGAATAATGTACCATCAGAAAAGGATATTTGTTATGCTTTGAATGGAACAAGTTTGAAGAAAACGGTGCAGTATGAGACTCGTAATCCTTGATTTTCAAACATCCGGTAGGTCAAAAATTCAAATTAACTGTCGAAGTTCGGACCGCGTGTAACTACTATTTCATGACCAATTCATTTTAATATGATTATTACCCGTCTCGCCAATACTCCATGCATATTTGAGTGAGTTTGACATAAATTAGTATGTTAATCCATCAGCCGTCCGTTAAACTCGAAAATGGCGCAAATAGGAAGAAACTTGAATATCAGTTGTAAGCATCGTCTTACGACACATCAATAGTGTTTGGGGCTGGCCTACGACATGCAGCCTCTCTGTGGCAAATATCTGTCGACAAGAAACAATTTTGGCCACCGTTCCTTGTCCGCAGGTTTTACCGTATTTGTATACGGAAGTTTTGAAACGTAATTAATTCAATATATTTAAACATGAAGTTTAAATTCAATTACAATTTAAAATCGTCGAAGAATAAAATAATGGAACGACTAGTACAAGTACATGTATTGCAATGGGGCGATAGCCAGTTGAATACGATTTTTGAAGAGAGACATTTTCGAATCGGCTATATTCCCTGATATGATTCACCGGGAAGCACTTGTATCAGTATCATGGTATTAACACCTTTAGAATTACAGTACATTCAAGGTATAATTATTCGAGGAGCAAGAAAAAATTAATATTAAACATGTATGCCACAACTTTCTATTTAGTAAGCATATCTTATGTAATTTCAAAAGTTTACCCTTCCAAACTTGAGACGGAGTTTTCTGAAAGGAGAGGGACATTTAAATATTCTAGGTTTATTCTCTAATAGATCAGATAAATGTTTCAAAACTACCGTATACATATACGGTAAAACCTGTGTTTTTTAGATTTAATACTTTTTGTCATATCAATGCGAGCAAAGGCAGGGAATCGAATGAAATGCTACGAAAGACGGTAAATCACATTTGTACGTGGCGTTTAGGGGTTGAGTTAGCGTCAATCAGTGACGCAAATAGGTAATTATTTTAATCAAAACGTAGCATTATAATAATACGTACTTAAAAACATGTTCTTTCCTCGCCATTCCTCTCATTAATACAAAATGATGAATGTGCTCTTTATTACGCGCATGCGCAAACCGCCAACTAAGCATTTTCTAACGAAGCTACCTGTTACACAGGCCAAAAAAGCTTCGTTGGGAGCTAACCTTCGTTGAATTTTCTACTCAATTGCTTCGTTATCAACTAAGCTTTTCCAACGAAGGCGGAAATGTTACACAGGCCCAAAATTGCTTCGTTACGAAGCTTTTTGTCAAATTGCATCGTAACGAAGCATTTCAACTGGCCTGTGTAACAGGGGTCACTCTACAAGTGTAGTTTTTATCAATAATACAATGCTTTAATCAAGATTTTAGTCAACTTACAAATGCAATGTCTTAAATAATACCAACTACAATTTTTATCTTCATGTAACTATATCCGAAATGGACACACCAATTTTGAGTGCCGCTGTTGTAAAAGCTTAGGTTCCAAATAAATAAATAAAAAAAATATTTGAGTCAGAAATAATTGCAATTTTTCGTTTTTTATATATTTGTAAACAGGGCCTATAGTACTTAATTCAGCCTAAGCCCTGTCATATGTCTAAGTACATATTACTAAAGAAACCATGAAAACTAAAAAAAAAACAGTTCAGGAAACAGTCAATAAAAATCCAACAACCAGAATTTGAGTTATTATCTGTGCACATGAATGGATGAACAGATGGATAGAAGGCTAAAGAAGGTTCATGATAAGGTCAAACACTGCAGAAAGTATCATTTCAATACAATAGGATCAAATACTTGTAAAAGGTTAATTTTAAAGATGTTAATTTAAGAGCAAAAAAGGCTCCAAAACTTAATAAAATATGTAGCTTGGATGTTCATTTATGTCTGTGGATTATATTTTATACCACAAACACTTATAAAAACCTGAAATTTGCAATAAAAGTGCCCGAAAATTGTTGTTTCGAAATTCCCCATTTTTCGTGTATCGCACTAGTCACGTGACCATTACGCGTAGCAGGCAATGTAGAGCATTACAGATATTACAGTACATATTTCAACATGTTCAATATGGCAAACATCAGCGATTCTGATTCCTGGGTTCTGAGAAATGGCTATATAAACCGGCGAGAGGGTGTAATTTGACTGAGGACAATTTAAGGAGGGGAAATGTGTCCAAGTATGCCAGTAAGAGAGCAGATATGGGGACTATGACAGAGAATCAACAAAAAACGTGAGTTCTGGAATGAAGACCCGTTGCCATTGATTGAGGATCCCAGTGATCCTTTATCCTACTCAGTTTGAATTTAGATGTAGGTTATTTCTGCAAAGTTATCAAATTTAGAAAATATGGATCTTGTTTTTGAGTGGCTTAACAAGCATTTAGATACAATGCTTTGCGCAGACTTGCAGTAAATTGGCCATTGCAAATTGCAAAATCAGATCGTCAAATTAATCGCTTCGTTTTTAAACATACGCTTCATATCTTCATCCAAAACTTTAGGATTTGATAGAGATAAGTTATAACTTGTACAGGAAGAAATGGCAGATCCTACCTTAATTTAGAATCGCTGATTTATCTGGACAAATTCCGAGAAGAAATTGTTCAACATCGCGATCAGCTCAGACTACATGTCGTGTGCATATGTCACTCTGAACTCGCGTGATAAAATACGGCATCTTGATTGGTTACTACTCGTGTTGTCATGGCGCGAAAAGCAGTAGTAAACACTGAATATGTTAATGAACTGCCATATATGGAACAACTGTCTTTCTGATTGGTTAACTTTACACGTCTCCTAAATCAATGTAGTAGTCATAGTAAATGATTCATTGATAACTATGAAAGTGGGCGTGACCAGCTTTATTTTGACACCAAATTCAAGATGTTGAAATATCGGCAATTTGATACTGATATGGTCTACGATAGATCCAAATTGCCTGCCCCGCGTCACATGTCACGTGAGCCTATATTTGTTGAAAAATGAAAGAGATAGTGACACTTTTTAATCTTAAGTTATACCAATATTACAAACACATATCCTATTTTTTCATTATATATTTATTTCTTCATTATATGTACATTTCTTTTAAACCATATTGATTCATTTTTGCAAAATCTTTGCTATTAGATCTTTAATATTTAAATTCTGGGATGGTAACCTCATTAGGAGTCAGTGACATCTATAGATAAACATAAACATAATCCCTTGCTTTAAACCACTCTATAATGATCTTAGCAAAATTGGCTACCAAAATGCTAAAGAGACTTAAAATTAAAGGCTCTTTAGCGGAAATGATTAAAAACCTTAAAAGGCTCTCTATGCCAGATTACACAATTAACAAAATTAAAATGGAAAAAAGGGAAGACACAATCTCTAATTATTTAACCTTTAGCATGCTGCCTTATTTCGGCAAATATATCCCACGCGACTAGCTTATTTTTCAAAGAGTGCAAAAAATGATATGCCTGGACTAAAAAATTAATATCTCAATAACTACTGAATGAATCTGGATAAAATTTTCAGAAAAATGAAGATACCCTGGCCTGGCTCATGAAAAAAATTTCTTATGCTTTTTTTTCTTAAATAAACATGACTGGGCATGAATATACCATGAATACTCCCCCGGAATCCGTCGTTTTGCCCCTGGGAAGATTCAACAACTGTTCAGAATCAAAAACTGAATTCGTAGCGATCGAATGTTCAACTTTTCCATTCAGAAAATATTCTAGTTTCTTTTTTCGATGTTACAATATTCTAGATTTATGAATATGAAGTGATTTTTAGTGACTGTTAATGAGAGAACCCCCGATTACAGGGCTTTTACATGGCACAACCTTTATTCTTTTTAGATCGCAACTTTTGCATACCCCTCGCTCAACTTTTTCCCAAAAATTTGCAACTTTCTCTGGTCTCAGATTACTGTATTTACATTGTATAAAATATTATGAACATTGTTTAAGATATTACAAACATTGTATGAGACATTAACAACATTGTCTAAAATATTTTATGAACATTGTGTATTTGTTGATAACAGGAGTTAGAAAGAATAAAACACAAGAAAGTGAAGAAAGAAAAGAAACATAAGAAAGAAAAGAAGAAAAAACACAAGAAACAGAAAGCTGAATCATCTGATGGATCAGTAAGTAGGCCTATATGATGTGTTTTACTAATAGAGTCAACCTCTTCCTCTGAAAATCTTCTTGCATTTTACAAAATGCCTCCTTATTCATAAGTATATATTTATTATAAATAGAAGGCAGATTGCCAATAAAGCTCTAATATAAACTTTTATAGGAATGTGTCAGGCCCCCTCCCTATAATCTGACTCTTGAAGTATTCATGAGGCCAAGGGTTATTTATAGAGAACTTTCATTTCATACATGAAATACATTTTGTAGATTCCCAATGTATCTTAGGACTAAACTTTTTATGTCACCACCAAAAGTGGTGACATATTGTTATGGTCTCCGTTTTTTTGCGACGGCGGTTGGTGGTTGGAGGTTGGAGGTTGGCGTCCGGCGTCTATAACAATTTCTTACAACTTCCTATAACTTAACAAATACTGTTTAGACTGACTTCAATTTTTTTCTAAATCATCTACATGTTCTCAGAAGTTCAAATCTGACTTTAGATTTGACATTTGACCTTCAATGACCTTCTCAAGGTCAAAAAGGTCTTTTTTCAACTTGCTTCACATTGACTAAAATTTTTTTCAAAATCATCTACATGTTCTCAGAAATTCAAATCTGACTTTAGATTTGACATTTGACCTTCAAATCTGACTTTAGATTTGACATTTGACCTTCAATGACCTTCTCAAGGTCAAAAAAGGTCAAAAAGGTCTGTTTTCAACTTGCTTCAAATTGACTAAATTTTTTTTTTCAAAATCATCTACGTGTTCTCAGAAATTCAAATCTGACTTAAGATTTGACATTTGACCTTCAATGACCTTCTCAAGGTCAAAAAAGGTCAAAAAGGTCTGTTTTCAACTTGCTTCAAATTGACTAAAAAAAATTCAAAATCATCTACGTGTTCTCAGAAATTCAAATCTGACTTTAGATTTGACTTAAGATTTGACATTTGACCTTCAATGACCTTCTCAAAGTCAAAAAAGGTAAAAAAGGTCTTTTTTCAACCTGCTTCAAATTGACTAAATTTTTTTTTCAAAATCATCTACATGTTCTCAGAAATTCAAATCTGACTTTAGATTTGACATTTGACCTTCAATGACCTTCTCAATGTCAAAAAAGGTCAAAAAGGTATTTTTTCATCTTGCTTCAAATTGACTAAATTTTTTTTTCAAAATCATCTACATGTTCTCGGAAATTCAAATATGACTTTAGATTTGACTTTAGATTTGACATTTGACCTTCAATGACCTTCTCAAGGTCAAAAAAGGTCAAAAAGGTCTGTTTTCAACTTGCTTCAAATTGACTAATTTTTTTTTTCAAAATCATCTACATGTTCTCAGAAATTCAAATCTGACTTTAGTTTTGACATTTGACCTTTAATGACCTTCTCAAGGTCAAAAAAGGTCAAAAAGGTCTGTTTTCAACTTGCTTCAAATTGACCAAATCTTTTTTTCAAAATCATCTATATCTTTTCAGAAGTTCAAATTTGACCTTACAAGTTCTCAGAAGTTCAAATCTGACTTTAGATTTGACCTTCAATGACCTTCTCAAGGTCAAAAAGGTCTTTTTTCAACTTGCTTCAAATTGACTAAAAAAAAATTTCAAAATCATCTACGTGTTCATAAGTTCAAATCTGACTTTAGATTTGACTTAAGATTTGACATTTGACCTTCAATGACCTAACTAGGTGGTGACATTTTGTCATGTTAATGCCTTGTATAGGACAGTGTCGGGCCCCCTCCCGAAAATCTGACCCATACTTTGCTCGATGACGGGTTATCCGGGTTGTTTAAAAAAAGATTCCAGGTTCAATCCAGGATAAGTTTTTTCAAAATTTCCGGATTGAATTTGAATAAAATATCCAGATTTTTCTGGGTCGGTTTTTTAAAATTAAATTAGCTGTATAATACTTTATCTCCATTTTACCAGAATCGAATCAAACTTTCAAGGAGTAATAATACAATTTCTCGTTATATATAATAGTAGGCCATTATCAGCACACAATTAGAAGATTTATTCATTCTTCTTCAATCTTATTTTAAAGAGATCCAGTCGTCCAGATTTCTATTCTGGACAATCAGAAATGTCCCAATATAATTGCTCATAAAATATCATATATACCTTAGATATATCTTGAGACCTAATCATAAGCACAATTTCACTAATATATTGAGAAAATCAACAGGACAACCATAACAGAACAACTAACTCCCAGAATTGAACACAATAATTTGAAAACAATAAAAAAGATTTTTCAGGGATTTATCTATATTTTAACCCCTTAACCCCTTAACCTCTACTATCACACCAAACTAGTTCTCACTACGTTCTCGAAAACGGGCTTAAAATGTGCACGAACGGATATGATGTACTAAGAACCCACTAAGAACCGTTTGGGATCTGTTTACAAACTTCATGAAGCTACTAGAACGAGTAGGTCCTCCATAACTTAGAGCATGCTCAAAATATTCTGGTGATTGTCAAAACATTGCCAAATCGGTTTTAAACTGTGCGCGAATGCGAACTGAATGAACGTAGCTACAACGTTCTATGGTTTGTTTACGAACTTCATGGACTTTCCCGGACGGGGAATGTGATTTGGAATTTTGAATTGATTTAAAATTCGATGGCGACCATACTTTTGCAATCAGGTCATGATGACCTTCTAGACTAAGGGACGCGTTATACGACGTTGCACATCGACGTGGTGCGACCTGAACGCACTGCGAATGAGATAGACGTATTGAAGACTGTTTATGAACGAAGTAGCTAATTATTTTAGACATATTTCCCGACCACAGCCAGATTGAGCCCATTTTACGACGTTTTCGTAGGACTGGCAAGAACGGGTAAGAACTAGTTTGGTGTGATAAGGGGGTTAAAAATCACCAGCGGATCTAGACGGGGGCGTGGGAAGGGCACACCCCCTTAAAAAGTTGGAAATTTGTGTTTTGCCTCATCGCTTTTTACAAAATTTGACTCTTTGCTCACAGTTATTATCACACGCCCCCCCCCCTAACACAAAATCTTGGATCCTCCCCTGGAAGTAATAAACATGGCTCCTCTGAACCAAAACAATCTGTTCAAACTGAAGAAAAAAGCCAATCAGCCTGGAACAAATTTTAAATTTTATTTTGAATTTCTACTGATATAAGTGGAAAGGTACCGTCCCAACAGACCCCCTTTTCTGCCCCCATCAGAATCAAACTTATTTTGCATCTAGAGTATCCTTACAAATGTACTTCACAATAATATTTCAAAATTAGGTCAAATGATGAGCCAATGAGGTCACTGGGTGCAAAAAGGTCAAGTTGGTAAAATCAATCTAATGATCAAGTAATTTCCTTAAACATACCTAAATAAAATAAAATCATGAGTTAAACCTGACTTTACATTCATGTCCATGGGGAATAGGTATCTTAATAGCCTTTGAGTAGTATTTACACCATACTTAACACAAGGAAAATGTTTGAAAATTTTTTAGTCAAAATACATGTACTGATATACTGTCAAAATATTGTATTGTAATATATTTGATATTAATATTCTAAAGCTTTGATACAACATATTAGTATTTATTGAATTTCTATGGGTACCAATAGGTACAGTTGCTGAAAGTTGAATGTACAGTTTCTAAGGGGTCGGGTCAAAATATCGATGTCCATAAAAAAAACGTAATTAAATTATTTAGATCTAAACCACCCCCCCCCCCCTTTCAGTCAATATGGTACAACGAAAATGGGACTTCTGCGCATGTTAAAATTTTTCGTCAAAACTCAACTTTTGTTCAAGTTGATACGATTGTCTTTCGAACTAGAGACTTACCTCATTCGAAAGATCATAAAAGACTTTATCTATACTGAAAATCTTAGATCCAAACATAGTAGAATACGCCGTCAGTCCGCATTTGATTTTTTGAAGTGAGTTTCGTAGATCGTCAGATTTCTCCGACTGATATCGGGTTATCTCAAACTGGTTCGTTTATAAATACGAATTTCTTTACCGTTGTAAGGCGCATGCGCAAAATTGATTTATAAACCTTATTGGTTGATGGTTTTTCTCCTGCGCATGCGTGAAGTCTGACGAACACTTATGACGAAGACCGGAGCAAACATTACTAGCTCTCGAACGAAATTCCAAGATTCAGGTCATTTCGCCGTGTTTGCTAAGCGTGTATACGTGAATGACAAGCTGTTTTGAGTAGATCGGGTACCTGTTTTAGACACAACATTGATTTAGCTTGACATTGATGTGCACATTGGCACTTTTGAGCATGTTAATACAAGTTTTTACACTCTTAGCACGAGACGGGTTTTCGAAAAATCTGTTATCTGATTCACTCGATTATCGTATGGATATGTATTTCTGCTGACATTTCAACACCACATCACATAGAATTACGATGCAGAATGATAATAAAACACAAAACAACTACTAAATTCCACTTGTTATTTCACAGGAGGTAAAAATTCCTAGGAAAACGAAAATTGATGTCCATCACCTAATGAAATCAGTGTTTGACCCCCTCTCCCTTATGAAATTAATTACGTTTTTCGATTGACATCGATATTTTGACCCAACCCCTAACAGATATTTTAGTTATTTTAAAACTATTCCGTGTCAGTATCACTATCCTCGGATAAAGGCAAGTCTTTGGCATCATGGAGAGAGTCACCTAGGAAATCTTTTGAAAATTGATAGCCTTCATGTCTGGCAACTCCCAAATAGGTGGCATTGTATCCAAAATGGTGGCAGAAATGTTTTAGAAAAAATACCAAAGAAGTCCAAAAAACTATATAGCTATGTTCTCCACCACTTTTTTTGCAACTGAAAATGTTGCCTAATTAAATTTTAGATCTGCACAGCTAAAAATAAAAGTGGTGGAGAACATAGCTCACAGTGAATTTGTCCATTCAATGAACCATGGTTCTATTCAATTGAGAAGGGTAAATAATGGGGGTCTGGATTATAATCCCTTTTTATGCCACAGCCACATATCATGCATCAT